ACCAGGGGCTGCACCTAGGGATTGGGCCTGCCCTCTGCCACTCAGGAGCAGGCCTAAGCCAGCAGGTCGTTATCTCCCGAGGGGTCCCAGACTGCGAGAGGGCACAGGACGGGCTGAGGGACCCCCCCCTCCCCCCCCTCAGTGCACAAATTTTTGTGCACCGGGCCTCTAGTATAAAATAAATATCAAAAATATAAATCTTTGTTTTACTATGGTTGCAATTATCAAAAAATTTCTATATGTGACACGGCACCAGAATGCTGACATGCCGAGCTCAAAAGGTTCGCTTTCACTGCCCTGGTGTGTTATCTGCCTTTCCAGGTTAATATGCAAATTAATCTGTCCAGTGGTTTCATATAAAAATCACCAAACTTGCCCTAACTGGTTTGGCTCAGTGGATAGAGCGTCGGCCTGCGGACTCAAGGGTCCCAGGTTCGATTCTGGTCAAGGGCATGTACCTTGGTTGCGGGCACATCCCCAGTAGGGAGTGTGCAAGAGGCAGCTGATTGATGTTTCTCTCTCATCGATGTTTCTAACTCTCTATCCCTCTCCCTTCCTCTCTGTGAAAAATCAATAAAATATATATTTTTTAAAAATCACCAAACTGAAGGCCTCGAACTAGCCATGTAGCCTTAGGAAGGTCACAACTTCAGCCATCAACAAACATCTCATCTAAAAATGGGATGAAATGAACACACAATGTGGCTTAGGTCCTTTCTGGATCTAAAAAGCACTACCATTTACAGATGGGCCCTGGTGGGTTTTTTATAGCCTTTCTTATTAGTGTGAATTATTGGAAATAAAATTAGCCTCCTCGGTTACCTTCTGTAGCACTCTACAGACAGCATATATATAAGTAACAGAGAGTTCAGAAAAAGCTTTCTCTTCTCTGAAAAAAGATAACTATCATTTCTACCAAAATCAAACAGTAGCACCCTCCTCTGGTGAATGTTAAAGGAGCTAAACAACACAAAAGATAAGAAGTAGATGGTGGGATTTTCTTTGAAAGAAAGAAAAAGCAAGAGAGAAATTACCTAAAAATGTGACAATACTGATTATGTTACAAAGAGCAGGCTTTTTAATGTAAGGCAAAATAAAAAGCATTTCATAATTTTGCTAACGATACTCACTTTTCCTCTATTATTTAAAAATTTAATGAAAAGCCCTGTACATGTAAAATAGTTCTGGTTAAATAAAAGCATTTATCTAGTCCCTTTTCTGGGTGACACATTTACCAGAAGACAGTACTGACAATTTCTCAACCAATTTGGGTCTGCCGTTTTCAGGTTTTAAAATATCAATTTAGCCCTAACCGGTTTGAAAAGAAAATGTAAAAGAGCATTCACTTACACATGCAGAATAAAACATGCCAACAGAGCACACCAGACCAGCCAAAGCTGAAGTTTCACAACATTAGCATTACATACAGACCTCTAGATTAAAAATAAAGCGGTGCTTTCTAAGACCAGGAACAGATTATAACATCTGCCAACAACTTAATTATAAAAACATTTAAGAAATATAAGCTTTATTAAAAGACTTATCACAGTCTAGAACACAAAATGAAAATATAAACATTCTGACTCAAGGCAAGAAAACGTATCAGTTATCATGTTGGCAACCATGTCATTCAGATATGCTTTTACCACCCAAGTACACAGCATCTCTTCCAATTAACTTCACATCTTTCCCCCACCCTGTGACCCAGAGGAAAGGAACCCACACTACACAGGAGGCTCAAATTTATCACCAATGAGAAACCTTCATTTTGAAAGGCAGAACATAGAAAGGGCTAGGGTGAATGGGAAAGAGCAAAAACTGATTTCAGCTCTGCCAAATAAATTTCCCAACTAAGTTTGCCATTCCTGGCAAACCTGCTTCTACAAGGCAGGTAAGATAGTATCATGGACAGATTAGCAGAGTGGGAGGTGAAGTGACTTTATATCAGAGATATAATGCAGATAAGATCACTAATTGAAAGCTTTCTCAATATTCACCCAAGACAAATGCCAAAGGACAAGCAAAGATTGAAAGAGAATGACATCCCCTACAGCCCACCCGCAGATCAGAAGGGCTAAGAAGAGAGTTGGGGCAAAGTTGGATGGGAGCATGGGGTGTGAGGAGAGGGGGGGAAATGATGAAGAAGGGGTGGGAAGAAGGTAGGGAGGACATAAGGGAGAAAGTATGCTGCCAAAAAAAAAAAGAGAGGGAGAGGGAGGGGGAGAGGGAGAGAGAGAGAGAGAGAGAGAGAGAGAGAGAGAACGCAACAATGAAACTGTTATAAACTGCCAAATTGAAAGAGATGGGGCGGCTGGCCCGGTGCTCTTTGGAGTCACATTTGCCACTCATTTCTACTGGGCCCATGCCCGAGGACCAGAGCCAATCCTCCCCGGACCTCCAGGAAATCTGAGCCCCAGCGCGCAATCAGGGTGCCGCAGAAAAGAGGGTGAGGGCCCTCAACCGGCCTTCGAACCTCATCACATGAACCCCAAATAAAGGCTTTGAGAAGCTGGGGGCCGTCCGCGCCCCACTTCGACCAGGGCGCAGGGGCGAGACCTGGCATCGCCACCTCTGCAAAGGCCGGGGGCATCTCCGGTCCCGGGCTGCAGAACCAGCTAGACACAGGCGGCCATCGAGGCGCTGCTGTCAACTAGCCCGACTGCATTTGCTAAGTTAATGGAGTTGGCAAGAAGCGCGGGGATGTCCCTGGGGTCCCTCCTCAAGGCGAAGGCGATGGGAAGGAGTCACGGCTTCTTCCTTCATCCTCACTGAGCCCTCACTGACTCGGCTCCGCATTTTGTGTCTCTTTTCCCTAATGAGGATAAAAGAGATTTTCTTCCTTCTTTGTGCCTTCCTCGGTCTCCAACCCTAGAACAGAGGCGCTGAGACCCTAGGCCAAAGTTCACTGTAGAAAACCATTAACTCTCCCCGCAAAACTAGCACAGTCATTTGCTGGGGGCTGGCCTTGAGAAACATCACAAATGATGAGGCACCATATAAGCTAAGGATGACCCTCCCTCTTCCAAAATGGACCCTCAGTCCCAAGAAGTCTGAGTCCAAACATGTTTTTGGCAACTTGGAACTAGTGGCTTGATCCAACCTGGTACCAGGTCATCACCACGCCCCTCGCACCCAAGTCCTCTCCCTCCCTCACCCCCCCCCCACCCCAGCACACCACGTCCTGTTATTTGCACGCGCGCGCGCGCACACACACACACACACACACACACACACAGCCCCCAGAAAACTCCTACCTCGCCCCCGTGACCGTCGAAGATCCCGAAGATGGACGGGTGCGTCTTGTTGGCTAGGTCCGTCAGAACTTCGAATCGGTCCTCCATGTGGTCTCTCCGGCCCTGGATGGAATACACCGCCACGTTGTGGCTCTTGAACTCCCAGGTCTTGGAAAACTCGGCCTCCAAGACGTCGAGCCCCCCGAGCCGATCGTTCTGCATGATCTCTGCGACCTTGCCCTTCACCATCTTCACGGCGTCCCGGCTGGACTTGACGATGGTCTTCACCTCGTCCGTGTGGAAGAAGTAACTCCACAGCGCCAAGCTGATGCACAGCAGGAAGAGCGTCTCGGGTCTCAGCAAGAAGTAGCGCATGATGCGACCCAGCAGAGACAGCAAAGTCATTGTATCCTCTATCATTTATTATCGT